TTTGTTTGCCTGCACGCATATCTGTGTGAGAGTGGATCCCATGGAACTGGAGTTACAGACAGTTGTGAACTGCCATGGGGGTGCTGGGACTTGAACCTGGGTCCTCTGGAAGAGTAGCCAATGCTCTTAACTGCTGAGTCATCTCTCCAGCCCCTGACTTACTTTTAGTATTTTTAAATTATGTGTATATGTGTATGTGGGACCAGAACATACATTTGAGTGCCAGTGGCTCAAAGAGTCCAGAAGAAGGTATCGATTTCCTTGGGTACTAGGAGTCAAACTCCCGAGCCTTCCCTCCAGCCCTAGAGTTTTAAATACTTATGCAGCCTAAGCTGGCTTTGACCTCTCAGAGTCCTGGTAGTTCAGGCATGTGCCACTGTGCTCGGTGTTGGCAAGAGTCCTAGGAAACACCTCGCAAACTCTTATGTGTTCTAAGCCTGAGAGCAAAACCCATTTCCCGAGGCAGAGCCCAATTTTGCCCAATATTCATTTCACTCCCAAGGAAGGGACTCCAAGGCAGGAGGTAAGTCTGATTGTTCAAAATTTGTTGGCATGAAACCCAGTTTGGGGCAGTCGGGTGTGGTGGGGAAGGCTGTGGGATTCATTGGGATAATTTCCCTTTTGTCTAAGGGTATCTAAGTAGGTGTAAGCTTTTTTTATATTGATATTTTGCTTTGTTGTTTTTGAGATCAGGTCTCATGTAGCCCAGGCTAGCCTTAAATCCACGATGTAGCCAAGGCTGGCCTTGATCATCCTACCTCTCCCTCTGAAGTGCTGAAATTATGAACATTGGGTCATTACACCTTAGCATACTGGAGACAGGGTGACACTCTGTAGCCCAGGTTAGCCTTAACTTTTTGTTCCTTCTGCCTCTACTTCCCCAGTGCTAGGGTTATAGACATGGGCTAGCAGATCATTATCTCAGTCTCCATTTTCATTGCTCATGTTGGTCTCCAAGTTCTCTAGAATCATCTAAGGAAAATTCAAGCCAGGTGGTAGTGGCACACACTTTTAATCCCAGCACTCAGGAAGCAGAGACAGGTGGATCTCTAAGTTTAAGGGCAGCCCTGGTCTATATAGTGAGTTCCAGGACAACCAGGGCTGCAGAGAAAAACCCTGTCTGGAAAAAAAAAGTTTAAAAACTTCAGGGGGCGGGGGTCTATAAGGTGGTGGAGGCAGGGCCAAGTGAAGCTCAATCTGTAAGCTCTGGGCCAGCCTGGCTTCATCCTAGCATGAAGAGGCGCCCTCTCTTAGTCTTGAGGTGGACACAGATGTAGGTAGGTCTGGCTTTGACCCCAGGAAGCCTCCAGTTGGGAAAAAAGACATCTGGACATCTCTACCTAGGTCCCCTGCACACATATTCCTCCTTCCCCCAAGATGAAGGACCCTCGCTCCGCCTGTTGGTCCAGTCCTAAGAATGTTGAAGTAGGCTAAGGCACCTAATTTAAGGTTCATTTCCTCTCTCTAATTAAGGGCCTGTTGAGGGCTGTTGTTCTCCAAGGGTCTCGGTCTGGCCTGGAGCTCAGGCTCCACTTCTCTCAGTCCCCCACCCCCCAGGGCTAGGATTCCAGGCCTGCAGCACCACCCTTCACTAGCAGCACTGCTAACAGGACTGCCCTGGCCTGTGCTTCCTGCGGAAAGTTAAATGGGGCAATCTGAAGGGAGCCCAGATCTGGCTTGCTTTGCAGACTATAAAGACTTCGGCGCTAGTCAAATCTAAACGACACAAGTTCTGTCTGGATTCATCCAGCTTCATCTCTCGGACTGTAGTAATGAAATATAGAGACCATAAGATGGTCCAGTGTGTTTCCAGTCCTAATTATACATGTTCAGTTTGCAAATGTATCCCTACTGGACTAAACACCACAGATCGCTAAACAGCTGTCATGGCTATGCCGGCATCTCTCGGTGTAAGAGGAGGTTGACATTTAGCTAGCAACTAAATTAAATTTGTTTATTTGATTTTAAATTATGTATGTAAAGTGCAGGTGAGGGCAGGTGCCAGAAGAAGGGTACGGGATCCCCTGGAGCTGGAGTCACAAGCAGTTGTAAGCTGCCATGTGGGCGCTGAGAGCTGAACTCCTGTCCTCTACGCGGACGGCCTATGGACACGCTGCAGAGTCGTCTCTCCTCCAGCCGCGTCACCCAGGAACTTCAAAACACCCAGGAAAAAACTAAGACCTAAGTTACTGCTTCTGAATGACACACACCCAGAGTTCAGCATTTCAATAAAAGGACTGGAGAACACGGACACCAAGATCGGTTGCATCGAGGAAATAAGGGTCCTTCAAAATGGTCAGCCCTTGCTCTGATTAAATTGTGCATTTTTAATATAGTTGGTATCAAGTGAAACTAAAAAAAAAAAAAAAGACCTGTGGGGATTTAAAGTAAAGAGAAACCTGCTATTTTTCAGGGTCAGCAGTACCGCGGTGAGATTTGTCTCCGAAACAATGACACTTGCTATCTCTGGAGTTCTGTGAACACTTTTGAAGTGCCATATTAAAACCAATCTCGTGGCCTTGAGGCAAAGGGAAGCAATTAGTCGTGGAGTTGTGAATAAATAAAAATCCATTTATACACCCGTCCTTGACATGTGCCTTGTGAATCTCAGGAACTTCATCTAGAGGGAAAAGAAACATTAAATCATGAATACCAGTCCCGATCACACTGCCATGTGGCTTCCTAAAACCGCTGAGGTTCAGGCCAATCTTTCAAGTTTGAATTTGTATGTATGTATTCACCCGCACTGAACACAAAACAAAGACTCACCAACAGTCACTCAGGTGAGGAGACGTGAGGGGTGCTGGGGGCCACTAGGGCCATGACAAGTAGTTTTCAGAGGGTCCCTGGTCCTCAAGTGAATCTAGCATACTTCCCTCGCCCTCCCCTTTTCAAGTTGGGAAAGTTGTACTCCTGAAGCTGAGGGCACCATTGTCAGTCAGGGAGGAATTCAGTCCTTGCAAAGCTGTTTTCCCTTTGTTCTGAGGGTCAGCTACTTCAATACTAAGGGACTCGACTGTTTCTAGGTTCCACTAAGGTAGACTGTCCAGACTGGGGAAGCCAGCCACAGAACTGAGTTGACTATCCAGCTGGGGATCTGACCTGACGCTAGCCAGAAGAGGAGCACCGTTTAAGCCACGTTGGGAAGCTAGAAGCCCAGGGGGTTCCGGAACGTGGGAAGCAAACGTGGGCACCCATGGCCCCCACAGCTCAAATCCCTTGACCTACTTCCCGGGCCCCTTTCTGTTCTTGGAGCCGCTTAAAATCCATAAATTAAGGAAATTAACTGATGGGGCCTGCGGCATCTTTGTAAGCTATTTAAATCTATAAATTTACAACATCTTCTGCATATATCAAGTAATTGAACTAACTGCAGGGATGTAACTTTAATGAGAAAATTTCCCCCTTCTCCAGGAGTTTGAGATAATAAATAAATAAATAAATAAATCCCTCAGGAGGAAAGTTTCTTATTCCCGCGTGAAGTTACAGACGCGCGGCTGGGATGCTTTGTTGGCACTAGAGGTCCCCTGAATCAGGGGAGATTCCCCCCATGCTCCCCATCATCTTTCTACAAGTGCGCGGCTCTGGCCCCGAGAGCACCCTCAGGAGTTTGGCCGGTAGAGGGCGCCCAGGCCCGGTCGGTGGCAGGGAAGGGGACCGGGGCGCCGCTCCCACTCGGAGCGCACCCGCCTTTCTAGCCGAAAGCCTGGCTGTGGCCCTGGTGTCCCGGGAACCAGGCGGGGGCGCAGTATGGGCAAAGCGCACCGGCCACGACCCGTTTCTTAGGAGCCGGGAAAGGGTCGAGAAAGGAGGGAAGGGCGGGGCGCAAGGGAAGGAGGAAGGGGTAGCGGGGAGCAGCTAGGGGCGTCCTGGGCGCAGGCATCGCGCTGTAGGGACTTTTGGCAGCCGCCGTCTCCAGCGCGCCGCGTTCGTTCAGGAAATGGCGCGAGTGGCCCCGGGCGATCGGCTGGGTGCCCCCCACGTCCCTCCCCCGTGGTAGTCACCGCGTGTCCGCAGACGTCACGGGCGGCGCTGCTCCCCAGAAGAGGGGCAGCCGGGGCCGAGACCCCGGGAAAGAGGGGGGGGAGAGAGGGAGGTAAGCCGCCTGGCAGCTTCTCTCCCCTCCCCACACCAAGTCCCGCCCTCAGCCCTGGGGCGCCGCGGCGGCGGCTGCTTCTCTCCTCTTTGTAACCGAGGAGTCGAGAAATGTGAGAAACGTGCCCTGTGTTACTTATTTGGGAGTCGAAAATTTATGCCCAGCTGAAAGCGCCCGGGGAAATATTACATCAGATGAAATGACAATGATTAAAATCAGCCTCTCCCCCGCCCCCTCCCCGAGCCCGGAGGAGGCCCGGGCGCCGCGTGGCCGGACGGCGGGGGGCTGGGGCGCAGAGGGCGCGGGGCCCGGGCGCAGTGCTCCCGGAAGGGTCCTGGCCGAGCCCCCCGGCACCCAGGCACCGGGCTCCAGGAACCAAGGGTGGGGATCGTGAGGTGGAAAGGAAGTGGTGGTGGTGGGGGGAACGGTGCATTTTTGTCGCCGAGCGCGGCAGGCGCGGGCGCGCGGAGCTAATTGCGACTCTAATCCTCTGCCCCGAGGCGCAGCTGAGCCCCGAGCCAGGAGTCGCCCGCGCGCGCCCGCTCGCGCTCGCCGCGCCGGGGTAATTTGGAACCGGATCGCTGCCCTTTGCAATCCGGGCTGGGCCGCAGCGAGGCGCACAGGCTGCCGGCTGGGTTTGGGGGGCTGTTTTTTCTTTTTTTTCTTTTCCCCCAGCCATCGGGGGAGGAGGCCGTTGGAGAGAGGGAGGAGAGGAGGTGGGAGCGGCGGGAGAGCAGCCGAAGAGCGGCGCGAAGAGGAGGCGGCGGCGGCGGCCGCGGCGAGGAGGGAGGAGGCGAGGGGAGGGCGGGGAGGGGAGGCCCCGGCGCGGCGCGCCGCGAGGGGCCGCGCGGAGCGGGGGCCGGGGCGGGAGGGGTGGGTGGGGGGAGGGTTGGGGGCGAGAGAGAAAGTAACTCCAGGACGAGACCGGAGCGACCCGCGCGCATCGAGCACTAGGCGACGAGGCTGCGCCGGGCGCCCGACACCGGCGGCTGCAGGGGGCGGGGGCTGCGCCGGAGCCCGATCCGCCGCTCCAGCTCCGAGGTAAGCTCAGCGCGGGCGGCCACCGCTCAGCGCCGCACACCCCTGCTTCCCAAAGTGGCGGCAATGCCGAGAAAGTCACTCGGCCCGGGGCCGGGACCTGGGCTAGGAGTTGGGGGGGGGGGGGGCTGCTTTGTCCCTTTGCTGAGCTCTGGGGCTGGCGGCGTGGGGGCGCCCAGCACAAAGGCCTGGCGCGCACGGGGCGGGGGGTGCCCACGTGGGCTGGTCCTGGCCGCGGGTGGACCCTCCCCGCTCGGCCCGGCTCTGATCTTCCTGCCGCGCGGTGTATGCGTCCAGGTCCTCGGCACTCTGGTTCCAGTACCGGCTCGAGTGCCCTGCCTAGCCGGTGACTTTATGAAACCGGTTCCTTGCAGCTGGGGTTTCGGAGCGCACCCCAAAACCGGGTTGGCGCCCAAATCAGAGAAAAGGGGGAAAAGTCTCTAACGGGACAGATGTGCGTCCTCTGACGCCCACCCCCACGAGTCACATGCTAGACGCACTGGTGGTGGTCCCAAGACCGGACCTCGGTCTCCATATCTCCGCTGCCCACACGCACCCCTTGACCTGGATGCGGACACCCTCGTTATCCCACTCCGCGCCACCTTAGCGCCTCTCTGCCCTCCCTCAAGAAACCTCCGACTGCAGAAAGATAAAACCTTGAAGTTTTCACTCCGTATCTCAAATGTGCATGAAGGAATTTAACTGCACGAGTGAATAACAGCATTAGTTTCAATTAATTTTTTTAAATCCCGGCAACAATAAACTTTGAGAACAAAAGCGCTTTTACGTCCTTAATTAGGCGAGCTTCCCATCTGTGGTCTTGAAGTGTCTGCCTCTTGATTTAACTTTGTCTCCGCCCCCACCGCACTCCCACCCCTTCCTCGCTGGGCCCTTAGGGTACCTTGGCCACCCCGCCCCGCGGGGCCGGAGGTTCGGCCCAGCCGGCTCCTGGAGCCCCGAAGTTCACACGGGCTGGCGGGCTCTATGGCTGGGCTGTAGCGCACCAGGTGGCCCGCCGCGTCCCTCCCAGTCCACCCCCTGGACAGTCCTGCAGGCCCCTGGCACTGTCGCTCCGGGCAGGAGCCCAGGGCGTAGAGCTGAAGGGAACTCAGAGGCGCCTTCTGTTTACCTTTTATGGTTAAAATAACAGCTTAGCAAAGAAGCGACTTCACGAAGAAGCGATTTAGTGAAATGGTCTCAAGCTGCCGCAGCTCAGCCAGTTTAATCACCCCCAGAGAGCTGAACAACTGCGAGCACAATGGGACACAAAATCATTTTGTGTGTAAATGAGCGTGGCATTCTGCTCACTTCCCTCTGCTCAGGCGGGCGGGGCTCGGCTGCGGGTGGGCGCAGGACCTGGGTCTCCCACCACAGCTTGGAGAAGCGGGTCAGTGCTGGGCCAGTTTGCAAACCCGCTGAGGTCCCTGCAACAGGCGGCTTGGCCAAGCCTCAGCCGCTTCTGGGCTGTGGTGTTTGGTGCAGTGAACTTGTGTCTCTTATCAAATGCACTTTTATGCTTGTGATCTTAGCAGTGGTCTCGGGAGAAGGGTTGTGGTCCACCACAGATGCGTTTGTTGGAGGGAGCAGTGGAGATTCAGGTCAAGGCGTAAGGCCTGGGGCTTCCAATGGTGAGTTTCTGGTTTGTGCTGTGAGAAACACACTCGGCCAGCTTGGGAGATGGGTGCTTGATGCGATGCTACTTGTCACTTCTGAGTTGGGCCCTGGAGGGGGGGCATGGTGCTTTGGTAGAATTTGGGAAGGAATTCTTTCTAGCTCTGCTGACCCTTGGTAGATCTTATCTTCCGACTCCCTCATCCCCACCCCCTCCCAGGGCTGGGTAATCCATCCGCTCTGTTTTGGTTTCTCAAAACTTCCTTGAATGACCTGGAATGTCCAAAACAGGGAACTGGACAACCTCCCCCCCCATGGGGGTAAAACACCATCCCTTCACCCCAAACAGTTCAGCTCAAAGAACTTTCCAGAGCCCGGGGGGGGGGGGTACATAACATCATAGGGGAGGAACCTTTCTTGTATTTGAGGGATTGCATTTTATGATTGAATGCTGAATTTTAAGGCGTAGATCTAGAGGAGAGAGTTTAGTAGGAAAAAGCTTCATGTGGGCACCAGGATATTGTGTAGTTGACCCATAAGGATTACACGTATGTCAGAGAAGTCCAGGTTATGTGGAATCCCCACCACCACCGTGTGTGTGTGTGTGTGTGTGTGTGTGTGTGTGTGTGTCCGTGTCCCTTCTATCTCCCTTTGAGACAGTCCCAAGCCAGTAGAAGTGGTAGCCAGAAGCCCACCCTTTTGAGTTCAGTAAAAGTGTCCCCCCCCCCCCAGGGGAGCTTTCTGGAGCTCTGAGGCACAATTTTATTTCAGGTGTCTGTGGCACATAGGAAAGTCCCTGAGTTGCTCTGGGGAGGAGGGGAGAAAGCCCATTTGCTGATTGCTGTCTGGCCAGCTCTCAGTGCCTCAAGGGCCTATGATCCTGAGGGGGTCTGGAATACATTAGGCTCCGGCAGCACCATTTTAGGGGTCTGTGGAGAAGCAGGGAGGTGCAGAGTAGGCAAACAAAGACAGGTTTTGTCTGCTTTGGGAGTCTGGGTGATTGGTGCCTTCCCCAGTGACACTTCTTCATCTCTGTGCCCAGGCTTCTTAGGAGAGAGGTGTCCTATACAAACTGTCTCTTAACTGGGTTGTGAGAGGTCTTGAGATCCCCAGTCAGTTGAGGGGAGCTGCACTTCCCCAAGGTTCTCTCCACTGATGCAAGAGGAGACACGCTTGGTAACACGGCTCTAACTCAAAATACCAAAGAAATCAGATTTGTTCTGAAACATTGCAGGGCAATAATGGCGAGCATATGTTTTAGGCTGTCATTAGCCGAATTAGCAGACATGGAGCTGCTTAGAAAACGTGTGTGTGTGTGTGTGTGTGTGTGTGTGTGTGTGTGTGTGTGTGAGGGGGGGGTGCGGTGGATGCTATGGCCTGGAGGTGTGCTTTGGGGTGTTGGGTGGAATCTGGGAGGGCTTCCTGGTGTGTATGGTATCCCAGACAGCATCTTTGTAAAAATCATTGACCCCGGGGAAGATGAGTGCCCATGGCTACTGAGGAATGAGCCCCCTGTCACTGCTTCCCACAGATACTCTGGGCAGGGATGGAAGCCTAGATGCCTCACCGCAAGGAGCGGCCGAGCGGGTCCTCGCTTAACGCACACGGCAGCAGCGGCAGCACCACCGCGGTGAGCTTGCAGGGTGGGCTGGGTCGGCCCCTTGGCCCCTCTGCTCTTTTGAGGAACCTGCTTACGAGCTGCAGGTCTTTCGGGACCCAGCACTTAGGAGATAGATATCGACTGACTATATGATTATGTACATTTTTTTAAACAAAAATGCTCTTAATTTGATGTGAAATTTACTACATGTATAAAGCTCCGGCGCCTTAGGTGCTGAGGAAGTCACTAATTTAGAGGTGTCTCGTTACTGAGACAAACTTGCAAAAAACCCCTGAATCCCAATTCACAAATTGGTGATTCGTTTGTCAGGGGATGTTTCACATCTAACACATAAGCCCGCGACCTTTAATTAGAATTTTGCAGTTTGTTTTATGCCCCTGGAGGCTGACACCTTGAAAAAAAATTTTTTTTCTTGATTTCTTATTGCTAATAAGCATCCTTCTCCCCACCCCCAGTACTTTGAAGAAAATGATGCAAATACACTTAATTACAGTGGTGGCCGTAATTTGTCAGCTGAATATGTGATCAGGCACAAAGCAGAAATGATCTGATTAAATCTGTGATCACATTCGAAATAAAGGGAGATTTAGGAACCCTTGTTTTTCAATTTATTTCTGTCTCTAGGAGGGAGGAAATATGTCCCGGCTGTCACTCACCCGGTCGCCTGTGTCTCCCCTGGCTGCCCAGGGGATCCCCCTGCCAGCTCAGCTCACCAAAGCCAACGCACCTGTGCACATCGATGTGGGCGGTCACATGTACACCAGCAGCCTGGCCACGCTCACCAAGTACCCCGACTCCAGGTAAGCGCTCTGCTCCCGGTGTCAGGCGAGGGCTCCCTGAGGGTGCGAGAGATGGCTTGCTTGTCGAAGACCACTTCAGACTGGGGCTTTTGACCCGGCACTAGTAGCCATTGTGGTATGGCACGGAGTTCCTGACCTTAAGAGATCCAGTCCCCTGTGAGCCTGACCAGCAGCTGGCTGGGGACTCTCACAGAGTGACACTCGGGAGTCAGGTGTGGTGGACATGGTCAATGCTGTTTCCTATCCTTACCCTTGGGAAAAGGCATGGACTGCCAGCTGCCGTTGTCCCCTCCTTTGTTTAGGTGGCCACCGTTTGACCCAAAATGCTAAGAACGAGCTTTCCTTTGGAGGTGGAGGGTGTAGAGCGAGCCAGCAATTAGAGGACAGCTGGGGACATTTTTGACAGTGGCTGAGCATGAGTTTGATGCCTTGTAATGTATGGGACTATCTATGACCAGGACCCTGACAGGGAACTTTCAGACTTGTCCCAGGAGGGACCCTTAGCATGGTGCTGAGTGCTGCCAAGCCAGCTTGCTTCTGGATCTACTTCCCAAGGACACACCTTGGCCTGGCAGCTGGTGGCAAGACTACTGGGGGTGGGCTATGTCTCTGAACACCTCCTACAGGTGACACTGCATGCAGCTTGCTCCTGGCATGGCAGAACAGCAAGCAGCGTTAGCCAGCAGGAGGGCAGGCCTGTCAGACATCACCTCTCTTTTATACATTTAAAATAAGAAGAGAAATTAATTAATCCCCTAGACACCGAGGGCTCATCACCAGGGTGGAGGCTCAGAGCCTAGAGGACTTCGGTGTGCAGAAGTATCTGGCAGAGCCCTCGTCTTTACAGGACTGCCCCCCGAGAAGGGGATGCTGGAAGTAGGTTGTGCGTCTGTTGCAGACAGTGGCCACACAGAAATGAGGCACGGGGTCCTCATGAACGCGGAGCATTGGCAGGGCGGGAGTATTGAGGCTGTGTACCGCCGTGGTGGCATGCTCGCTTGCAGAGCCTTGTCTAGGCTAGGAGATGGATTCTATTCATTTAATTTCAGTTTTGCCTTCTGCGGCGTGCCGGAGTTGTGTGAGATAGATCAACCCTTAATCGGCTGATGGTGTTTGTGAGTGAGATTCGTAAAAATCTTCGCCCACCACTGTCTTGGAAGAGTGTTTCCTGAGATCTGACAGTCCTCAGCACCCAGGCTGGGTGGGCGGGGAGAGGGCCCTCCCTTCACACGTTTGCCCCTGGTGGCTTTTGGGGACTGAGAACATTTTCCCTCCCTGTTCCACAGTGTAGCTTACCCTTGCTTATCGACTTGCTGTGCAGTGGGCTGTGCTCTTTCTCTGGGGAGCTGAGGGCTTGGACCTATGCTGTGGCCATGTGGGACCCTCCACTGCCCGAGCATGCCCAGAGGGGCTCTCAGTCTGTGGTCTTTACCAGAGCTGGGCTCAGGGTGAATCGCTGTTCTGCCCAGATGGTTCTGGTCCAGCAGAGCTATTTGCTGGGCCTGAAGCTGAGGCCTAGAGCAAGGGCTCGTATGACCTATGAGACAGTAGAGGCAAGGGGTCATGGGGAGCCACAGAGCTATTATGTGTGGAAGAAGCCCTTCACGTTCCCTTGCTTTTCTAAAGTGGATTATTGCAATCCCGGAAAAGATGTGTGTCACTGATGGGCAGGTGGAGAGGGAGAATTAAGAGTGCGGAAATTGCCCTTGGAGACCGCTCCTGATGCCAACAGTGTCCCACCCTTGACCCTGCTTCTGAGCTCATAGCATTGTACCCCAATCTCTGGCTGTTGGTTGATCAGGGTGACCTAGACCCTGTGGACCTGGTGATGGGTGCCTCCTCTGGTTCACCCCGAGCATATGGCCTGAGGCCGAGAGTGGACTCATGGTCTGCCTCTCTGTGTCATACCCACTGGGTGTCGCATTGCTGCAGCTGACACAGGAGCGGCACATGAACGTGGCCAGGTGTACTAAACCTTCCAGGAAGTCAGGGTCAGCACGCTAAAAGGAAGGAAGATGATGGCCATGCGATGGCACCCTGTATAGTCAGGGCTAGTGGTTAGATAGCGCAAGTCCCAGCTGCCAGAGCAAATTCACCACCCTCAGAGGGCTAGTCTAGGGATGGTTCCTACCCCAGACATAAGAAGCCACCAACAGAACTCAGGAGGTCACGTGGGAGCTTGCTCATGAGACCCTGTGAAATGCTAAGGGTTTCCTTGTGGTAACTGTCCAAAATTTCCCTCTGGCCTGCCCCACATCCGGTGTAAACCTTGTTTGCTGGGGCCATGAAGGGCCTCTGTCCTAAGAGGAGGTACCCTGCTGTCATTAGTCCCGGAACAGACACCGAACCATGGAAAGATCTAGATCCTGCTTGTCCTGGCTCAGTAGACAGCCAAGAACCCTGCCAGCCCCGGACTGTGGGTGGACTGGGAATCCTCTAGACCTACAGGCCGCTCGGGAGCCTCCGCCAACTCCGACGTCAGAGCAGCTTGGAACCCAGCCAGAGCCAGCATTTTGCTTGCTACACAGCTCCACCGGGGGAGGCTGGAAAGAGTTCCCAGGAAAGCTGATGTGTCGAATCTGCTGACTCACCTGTGCACGTGGTTCTGCCCTCTTCCTTGCCAGAGCATGGTGTAGACCCTTAGTTGTCTGCCCTGGCATGTGATACCGTGGCTTAGCTACATCTCTGTCCAGGGTTTCTGGGTGTCCCCCATACCCCTACAACAAAATGTTCAACTTTTGCAGGGCCAGGTCTCAAATGAGCTATGGAACTCACAAGGGTTTCCAGCGGGGTCACCAGGCAGTGAAATCCTGAGTTCTCACTGACCGGTCAGGGTGGCCCATATACAGTAGAACCCCTGTCAGGAGCCCTCTCCAGAGAGACAGAGAGAGCAAACACACAGTGGTCCCGGGGTGTCTGCCCTTCCCTGTGTCCTGGGGAGGACATTGTCACTGGCAGCCTGTGTAGCCCTAAGGATTTATATTTGTCAGTGGTAGCTCTGGTTCTTCAGGCTCGGGCCTCCACACCCCTAACCCACAGGTTCTGACCTGCTCACTCCCACCTGCCAGGCAACCTTGCCCTTTATACTGCCCCCATGGGACAGGCCGGGCCGTGTTCCGTCCCCACAATGACATGGGACATGGACTGCGTGGATTGGGAGTACTTGAGAAGGGCACTGGGGGCTTTGAGCTCTCAGCTCTGGCAGCTGGCATGCTCTGGGTACACATGGCTGTGATTGGGCGTGGCTGACTTGGACTGTGCAGAGAGTGGGTGGATGTGGGAACAGGACAGAGAGAGGATTCTTGGAAGGGGCAGGGTGGTTGGTTCAGGCAGTGAAGGGCCTTGGGCCCTAGCTTGTACAGGCCAGACCAATGAGTCCTTATCCCCTAATTCCCTGGTTCTACAAGGCTATTTGGTGGGGTTGACAGCCCTGGCTGTTGTAGACCAGGCTGGCTTTGAACTCACATAGACCCACCTGCCTTTGTCCATCTCCACCCTGCACCCCGCCCCTGCCCCAAGTGCTGAGATTAAAGGCATGTGCCACCACTGCCCAGCCTCCAAGACTTTCCTAGGAACAGTTCTCCCAGACTCAGTCAACTGACCACTGAAGGACACTGCTCACCTCCCTTCTGCTCCCATGCGAAGTTCTTAGCGCCCTTCAACCCACTCTGGGGTTCCTGATTATCTCACTTAGCCTTTGAGATCTGCAGAGCAGTTAGCCAAACCCGACCCTGCCACTGTGTGCATTAGGGAGGCCCTAACGCCGGGTGTTTCTGCCATGAATTGGACAGGGAGAGGTATCAGGGCTCCCCCGAGGCTTGCCTCCCTCGGGCCCTGTGCCTTAGCATTGTCTTTTTAGGCACTAGAGTCCTTTCCAACCCCAGCCTTGCACCAGACTGGCACATGCTGTGGTGTGTATGAGTACCTATCCAGGGTTGGTCCTCACTGTCGCATGCTTTGGGGGGGTGTGCTGGCTGGAGCCCACATGCAAGCACACGCTCCCTCTTGCCTGGCTCTCCCCTGTGGCTCCTTCAGTGAGCAGCTGTGGGGAACTTGTGACTTCCTGTGTTAGCTGGTGAGCATCACTACCTGAGGCTGCGATCCTGTGCCTATTGGCTGAGGGAATGTGTGCTATTACCTGATGTTGGTTCAAGTGTCTTGGGTGAGAGAGTGTGTGTCCCCAGAGACTGGGCTGGTTGACATACATTTATCAGGTGCGTGACTGGGAACCAGAGTGCTGGGTGCTCAACTCACGTTTTCTGGGCACGCCTTTCTGGCATGGGTGTGTATTTAATCTGGGCCGGACAGTTTATGTGGCTGCCTGTGCCTTGCCGTGGTTTTCCAGGCCTGTAATGTGTGTCAGTGGGCCATCCGCCATAGCTGGGTATGTCCCTTGGATGGCTCTAGCTGGTGGCTGTGGTTGGAGAGTGTGACGTGGCTGCCCTAGTGTCGTGTGTGTGTGTGTGTGTGTGTGTGTGTGTGTGTGTGTGTGTGTAGGCAGTCTGTCTGCCTCACGTGTGTGCAGTCAAGATTGTCAAGGTCTCTAGGTCACACTTCAAAATCTCTAAGGGTGACTGACCTCTTGCCTCCAGCTGAATGACCTCTAAGAAGTGGGGGGGATGAGGCGGGTGAATGCAGCCCCACCCTACCTATATCCCATCTTTCCCGTCTCTCCCAGAATAAGCCGCCTCTTCAACGGCACAGAGCCCATTGTCCTGGACAGTCTCAAGCAGCACTATTTCATCGACCGGGATGGGGAGATTTTCCGCTACATCCTGAGTTTCCTGCGGACGTCAAAACTGCTGCTTCCGGATGACTTCAAGGTAAGTTCGCAGCCAGCGGCACCCCCTGCGCTGCCAGTGTCATGGCATTACACAGGGGACGCTGTGGCTTAATAAATGGACCCGCGGTTGTCATGGCAACCACGAAAAGTTAGCTGACGAAGCCGAGGGCTAGATCAGTTTTCCTAAACTCATTCTGCTTTCTCACCCCCTCCGCGTATTTATCAGGGCGTGGCAACAGTGAAGCGTTGGCGCTCACCCCAGGTTGGTGCTAGTTGTGTTTAAGGACCGCCGTGCGCTGGAATAGAGGAGTCGGAGGTCTGTGTGTCTGTCCCTTGGTGTCAGTTTGCAGTGGGGAAAATCCCTAAGAGCTAGGTGGTCCCCCTTTAAACCAACATTACTCCCAGCACTTGGGATGAGCTTGTCTTAGATGGCTGGTCTGGTTCCCTGTGGTCCTGCCTCAGCGCCAAGCCCCTCTGAAGTCCTGGGGAATCGTGGGAGGAGGGAAGCTAGGGCCTGGCTCTAGCTGGCAAATGTCTTTCTGTCTTTGTGTTTCCTTGCTTTGAGGCTTCCTGCAGCGACCACTGCGCCAGCTGCCCTGGGGCCCTTTTTCATCCAACCTAGTTACAAAATGGCAGCAACTGGATTTGGTCTGAAAATAGAGCTGTGGGAGGAAGCTGGAGGCTTTGCCCTTCCCAATCTAGAAAGTAGAGGTTAGGTCTCAATTGCATGGAGCCAGTGCTTCAGAAATCGTCAGTGGTATGGCGAATCCCACGAGACAGGCACTTCATCCCAGGCCTTCCAGGATTGAGGCAGGAGGATTGCTGAGTGTTCTAGGCTAGCCTGGCCTACAAAATAAGACACTATCTTTAAAGAAAAAAAAAAGAAAGAAAAAGAAAAAAGTCAGCAGGAATCATGGCATATTCCTTTAGTCCCAGCACTTAGGAGGTAAAGTCTGGCTAGTCTTTGTGAATTGGAGGCCAGCGTGGTCTATAGAGGGAGTTCCAGGCTAGCCAGGGCTATATAGTGAGACCATGTCTCAAAACAAAGAAACAAAACCAAATAAACAAAATAAGAGTACTAGCCAGATGATGAAGAAACCTGGCCTGGGTGGGTTTGAAAGTGTTGAGTTAGGTGGTGAGGGAAGAGCAGAGCAGTCGGGTGGGAGGGCCGTGCTGGGGGTGTGGAGAGCACTGGAGAGACAGTCTGGGGCGATGTGAACTGGGAAGGGAGGGGGAGGCTGCTGGTGATAGCTGGATCTTGGTGGGTGGCTCAGCAGTTGGCACAGCTGAGAGGGGTCCGGTCTGCAACTCTCACTCGGGCTCTGCTGTGAGAGATGCAGGGAACGGGAGTGGGGACAGGCTAGTTACTTATGTCACTGTGTTCTGTGCGTGCTGGGAGTAGGGAGAGGGTGACATTGAGGGGAAGGGTGTGAAGGCTGTGAGTGTGGGTTATTGGGTCAGGAGGTTCTGGAGGGCATGCCCAGTTCATAGCTTCAGCCCTGAGTCAGTGAACGAAAGTCTAGGCATGGAACGTTCTGGGCTTGGGGAGAAAGTTGGCATAGAGGTATCATATAAAACTCCAGGGAGTGGTGAGAGCTGGGAGAACAGACATGGGATGGGGCTCCAAGGAGTCTGTTATGGAAAGCAGGCAGGGTCGCAGCTCGAGGTGAATCCAGATGATGGGCCTTTGGGGCCAGCAGAAGCACGCTAGGCATTCAGGATGAACTGTGTCGTGAGAGTTGATCTCCCTTGCTATGCCCCGAGCCCTGCTGAGTGGCATGAGTCAGTGGGCATAGGCCACTCAAGAATTGGTGGACACACGGCTAGTGTCAGGGTCTGTGGGGACAGTTTTTGTGAATGAGCTGTTCGATGAGGACCTTGTCATATTCTCTCCCTGCTTGGGCGGGGACAGGCACTCGGCAGATCTGTCCTTTGATCGTCATGTCTCTCAGGGCCCAGTGTTGATACTCATTGTAAAGAGGGGAAGCTGCATCAGGGAAGGTCAGCATCAGATCTGTAGCCTTGTGGCTGATGGGTGACCAGGCTAAAATGCTTTCCATGAAGGTCTGCATGGGAGCTGGGCAAGGGCGCAGTGCCCTAGATCCTGTGTGATTGTCTTCTGGGTGGATTTCCAGGAAGGCAGTATACACCCAGCTCCTACTCCTCTGGTTTAGCTCCTAGCTCACTTGCCCTTCCTTCCTTCCTTCTGTCCTTCCTTCTGTCCGTCCTTCCTTCTTTCCTTCCTTCCTTCCTTCCTTCCTTCCTTCCTTCTGTCCGTCCTTCCTTCCTTCCGTCCTTCCATCTTTCCTTCTCTTCTTCCCTCTTTTCCTCCTTCCTTGACGGTTTCTCTGTGTGGTCCTGGCTGTCCTAAAACTCACTCTGTAGACCAGGTTGGCCTCAAACTTGTAGATCCGCCCGCCTCTGCCTCCCAAGTGCTGGGATTAAAGGTGTGTGCCACCAGTAGCTTCCAGCTCTTTCTATGACACTTCTGTTTGCCATCCAGCTGAAGGACCAGGAAGAGAATCTCAACAGAAGCGTACCAGCCTGCTCTTAGTTTCTTTACATCCAGGGCACACTTATTGGACTCTTCGCTCATCTCTACAATGGAAATGACCATCCTAGTCCACATTGTGTCCTGGGAGTTAAGACATCTGTGAAAAGGGAAAGGGGACGCACTGCGGATAGGATGAGCGGCCCAGATGGGACTGCCTACTGCTTCCCTGACACTGTGTGTTTGTCCACAGGACTTTAACCTGCTGTATGAGGAGGCGCGATACTACCAGCTGCAGCCCATGGTTCGGGAGCTGGAACGCTGGCAGCAAGAACAAGAGCAGCGACGTCGTAGCCGGGCCTGTGACTGCTTGGTGGTACGAGTCACCCCCGACTTGGGTGAACGCATCGCACTCAGTGGCGAGAAAGCCCTCATCGAGGAGGTCTTCCCTGAGACCGGGGATGTCATGTGCAACTCTGTCAACGCTGGCTGGAACCAGGACCCCACGCACGTCATTCGTTTCCCCCTCAATGGCTACTGTCGACTCAACTCTGTACAGGTGAGGGCCTTGGGTGCCTCCCCAGAAGCCCCAGGATGCAGAGAGGGAGGGAAGGGGGACGCAGTCCCGGAATGGGATGGACGAGACCCACGCAGAAAAGGCAACAATGTGCCAATGCATAATTTATGCCTCGCTCATAATTAAATGATGGTGCCTGGGGGATGGACTTAAAAAAATTGATCTGTACTTTTCTTTCTCCCCTAAAAGGATGTTCTTAAAAAAAAAAAAAAATTGGCCCAGAGTATTTTTGACGGAACATGCTTCATTTAACATGCAGAGGCTGACTTCGGATTCAAATTAAACCCAGGCACCAGGAAAGGCAGGGAGCCTTCCCGTGAGGCCGGCCCTGAGGCCACTGGCAGGCAGCAGCTGCCTGGAGCTCTTCTTTCTGAGACAGGATCTTATGTGTAACCCAGGCCAGATGCAAACTTCAGCTCTTCTTGCCTCGGCTCCCTGTTTCTGGAAGCTTTTTCCTGACTCAGAGACACTTCTATTTTGGGGTTAGGACAGAAAGGACCCTTTGTGGCGAAGCCCCCCCCCACACACACATCCTGTAGGCTCTTGAGTAAGAGGCTACTACTTGCTGGACACGGATGTCAGACCAGCCCTCACCTTCCCAGAGACATAAACCCAGGAGGCCATGTAGGCCTACAAAGACCCACCGAAAGGACTCCCCCTCTTCCCTCCAACTAGAACTCTTTGAGCTGATGAGCCCTCAGGCCTCAAACCATCTGGGACTCAGCTCCAGGAAGCAGGTGGCTGCCCTGAGGCTAGGGAGCAGGGGCTTTCCATTATTGGAGCAGGAGATTGAGAGAGGGGGTGCCTAGGGCCATGTGTATGTAGGGATGGGTTAGGCCACACCCTGGATAACAGGGAAGGGACCCAAAAGCCCCTTTTGCTTTCCTAGTTCCTAGATGGGCGCCCCTGAGAATTGGAATAGCCTGGGTGGAATAGCAGAGGCGTACCCTGGTTGGCTAAGTTGAGGGGCCCCCAGGCCTGACTGCACCCCTCCCTCCTCAGGCCCATCAGAAGGTAGCTTGCTTTGCCTGGTACCCAGCTGTCCACCAGGCCAGGTAAATTCTGGAAGCTGGGCACTCCTGACCCCTTTTTCTTCTCCTGCAGGTCCTAGAAAGGCTGTTTCAGAGGGGGTTCAGCGTGGCTGCATCCTGTGGGGGTGGTGTGGACTCCTCCCAGTTCAGTGAGTATGTGCTTTGCCGGGAGGAGAGGCGGCCGCAGCCTACCCCAACTGCCGTCCGGATAAAGCAAGAACCCCTGGACTAGGCCCTGTGCCGGGGCCCACCTGAGACCCCCTCAGTCCTGAGACAACCCAGAGACATGGAAATAGTGCTGAGGAGTCCTGCCTGTTTGTGCTTCACAGTGGGCACAAGACTGAGCACATCCATGGGAGTGCTAAGTGTCATGGCAACAGAACGAGGGACGCCGGAGGCATGCGCGTGGAAGGACTGTCCATGTGACCCAGAGATGTTGTGGCAGCAGCGACGCTGCCAGCTGCCAGCCCTTCTGCTCCTCAGCCTGGTTCAGCGTCCTCTGCTGGGCCAGACACTCGAGAGCAGCTGTGTATCCTCCTCCTCGCTTGGTGGACGTCGGCAGGCCTCCTCGCATTGGAGATGGCTTATTTTTCTACAATATTTAAAAGACAACTAACTGTCGCCACACACGGTGGCAAGGCCAACAAGACCATCGCTGCTTTTACCAGGTGCTTAGTTCTCAGTCCATTGTTCAGCAAGCCTAGCAAAGGATGGGCTGCTGGCACTCGGGCCAGGTGCCTGCTGAGCTGGGGCAGTGGGGACAGATGTGGCAGGTGATGGTGCTGCCAGAGATGGCATGGGACCCCCTAGAGGCAGGGCTGTGGGGGGCTAAGTGACTCCGTGACTGTTATCTGAGACACTCTGCTGCCACCTGTGTCCCAGGCCATCCTTGGTGCACACCTGACCCTCTAATGCCCAGGAGCTTCCAGTCCCAACTGACTACTCACGTCTGGGTTCCCGGAGAAGTCTCCACGCATCCAGTCAGCGTGGGGCCATGGCTTATCTCAGGAATGGGCCCGTCTACCCAGGGACCCATCTGTCACCATCCATCTCTGGGTCCCCTGCTCAGGAAGCCACTGTTGGCCCCAGCTCCAATTTTCCCATACTCACACACACTGAGTTTTAACTAAATGTACTGAACTAGCCTGTCAGTAAGGCACAGACCCAAACTTACCCAGTGCTCTTAACCCCAAATCCCAACAAGGACTGGTTCTGAGAGGTTCTCACAGACCCACTGTCTCCCAGACGATAGGCCCAAAAGATGGACACCCTGGCCTTGTCACATCTTCCCTAGCTCCTCCCACGTGGAGGGACTGCAGAGAACTGATGGAGGGGGTGCCCTGGCAGGCACCCCCTTGTGTATAATGCCTGTAGACTTGTATATGACTCCTTTAATATTGTAAAGATGCTGATGTACAATTGTTTTGTGTTTGTGTAAACACGTTGCGTTCCTGGTTCATGCCATAAAGGGCGCTGTAAAGTAAAAAGACTGAGCCTCCAATCCTGTGCAAAGGCCGCAGCTCAAGTCCCACATTTGACTCACTTGGCTTTGGCAGTGAGGATTGCAGGGGGCAAGGAGGGCATTTCCTTCCTGGGTTCAAATTGAGTAAGGAGTGGTGGTCAGTGGGAGGCGCATGGTTACAAGCTTGCTGTTGTTCACTGCATCTGGGTGTTTTAGTGACTTCTGTGGGTCCCCTCTGGGCCGCACAGATTTCTGCTTTCTGATTCTTATCCTCCAACCAGATGCAAAACAGGTAGGCAGGTTTCTAAGGGGTGAGACCACGCTTAAATGTTTGGGATTTTTCTCATGGTATTTTAGCTGGAGCTGGGTTGATGTTCTTCCTCCTCCCTTCTTTTTTTCTGACTTGGAACTCACTGTGTACTCCAGACCAGCCTGAGAGTCCCAGATCCTGGGACTGCAGCTTTTTTGCTACGTCTAATTTGTTCTCTTTAAACCCCAACACACAATGGTGTGAGAAGGTGACGCAGAATGGTCTTGGACCAGCCAAGGGACAGAGGCTACGCAGCCAGCATGCAAACTGGGTCCCATTATGTCCCTTTCCAGGGAAAGTGTCTGAACATGTCATATAGGCCTCTAATTTTAATGAGCTTTTAAAAGTTTTTACTCAAAGCCCTATGTGCTGAAGCCCACAAGGACCCATTTTATATGCCTGCCCGGGGCCACCAGCCTCCATCTGCCTCGGAGCTTGGGAATACAGGCCAGCACCTTCAGTCTGAGGCCACAGAGACGCCATCCCAGCATACGATCTAATTTGCTGGACAAACTTGTTAGACTTCTCTGCTGAGCAGCGTGCCTGCAGCTGGCACATCTGCATTTTGGCATCAGGCAGGCATCTGAGGAGGAAAAGGGTATTTCTTGCAAGGAAGTCATGTGGAAACACCTAATACTGTTTGCATTTGTGGATTTTTTTCCAGCATAATAGCTGTCGTGGAGATCCTCTAGTACTTTCAAGCCATCTTTTTTTTTTTTTTTTTTGTGCTGGAAGCCACAGCCAGGCATGGTAGGCTTCCTGAAATCCTAGCATTTGGGAGGTGGAGGCTGGAAGATCAGGAGTTCAAGACCATCCTCTGCCACCTAGTCAAGAAATGTAATTTTACACAGTCCTGTAACTCTAACTGCTTGGGAGACTGGGACAGGAGGATTACAAGTTCAAGGCCAACCTAGGCAACTTGTGAGACCCTGTCTTAAAAGGTAAAAGAGGGCCAGGCAGTGGTGGCACACACCTTAAATCCCTGGTCTACAGAGGAAGTTCAAGCAGTCGGGACTGTTCTATAGAACCAAAAAAAGAAAAAAAAATCATCTTCCTAATGATTAATATGCACCCTTTCCTTAAAGCACAGAGAGTGAATATCATATCATTTCCATGAAATACCAGCACTTTTCTACCTCTCTGGAAACCTTATTACTAATCATTCTTTATAAGCAACTGGACAGAGAGAGCTGGGACAACGCTATCTCCCAAACCTCTGCCGGTCTGGTGCTAGGGAAAGCTGTAGCAGGTGGGCCCCACACCATCCCATTCACGAACTCAAAGCCAGTTCACAATGTTAGTAATTCTTTTGGAAACTGGGATTTTTTTTTTTAAAAGCTCTTACTTGATTGTGTTCTCCAGAAACAGTAAAGGGTTATTTCATGAGTGACAACTCTAGTGTGTTTTCAGTGCTCTGAGACAGCCGCTAGAAGGCTTGGGTTCTACAGAACCTTGAATATGGATTCCATGTTCAAATGCCAGGACTCCTGACCTGAGGTTCCTGGTGAGCTTTTTTTTTGTTTGTTTGTTTTGTTTTTTGAGACAGGGTTTCTCTGTGGCTTTGGATCCTGTCCTGGAACTAGCTCTGTAGACCAGGCTGGTCTCGACTGGTCTCGAACTCACAGAAAGCCGCCTGCCTCTGCCTCCCGAGTGCTGGGATTAAAGGCGTGTGCCACCATCGCCCGGCTCCTGGTGAGCTTTGTAGGCTGCCAACACCCCGTGTGTGTCCTGCTGGCAGATGTCACTGAATGAACGTGAGTCTCTGGGACCTTTCCCAGATCCTGGGCCTGCTCTCAGGGCACTGGGACTGGTGAGAATTTTTATGCCTGTTATGGTGAGGAATGAAGTGTGAAGGGTCTCCCACAAACAAAATTGAATGCTTGATCCCACCCAACTGGTTGCAGCTTTAGAAGGCCAGCGGAATTTTAAGGACACGGTGACTAGCCACCGTGTAGACTCCCGCTGCCCCAGCTGCCGTCCTGTTCTGGCCATGATAAACTGTACCCACTGGGAGCCCAAACAAGTCCTTCATCCTTGAAGTTGCTTCTGTCAGGTCACGGTGATGAGGCATGTGTGAGCTAAGCCAAAAAGGGACAGAACAAGCCTTTGAGAACCAGGGATCCAGACCCCACTAAACCCTCAATCAACTTGGCCTCCATCCTTGCCCTGTGTATCTTTGGGGATGTCTGCCCAGATAGTCCCAACTCATCACACTCTGTCCCTCCTGACTCTGGAGACCGGTAAACAGTGATCCAGAAGGATACTCCAGGCCACACAGGATGTCTGTGGCTCCTCCCAGCACTTCTCGCCCCTCCCCCTACCCTAAACCTCTCCTTCCCAGGGGCTTTCTCTTCCCCTTGATCCCTGTATAAGGCAGCCATTTTGGCTACAGCAGTCTCTTGGTCAGTGGCTCCTCTCTTCCTCTCCCTCCTCTCGTGGTCTGGTTTTGTCTGCCAGCCATGTTCCCTCTGCCTGCTTTCTCCCTATCTCTACATTAAGAATCCCCGCTGTGCTTTAGAAGTAGTCACGTTCTCCTTTTATTTTACTTTGATCCATTAAACGACAAGGTGGGACATACAGACAGGCATCATCAGGACACTGGAAACCAAGTACTACCAGGCTCTGGACAGAGCCAGAGGTCCAGCTGATGGCCAGAGAGGACAGCTGTGGGTCTGGAGTGTGCCATGAGGGCTGGCACAGGTGCTGAGCACAGTGTGGTGTTCACACACTGAGCTGATGTTCAAGTAGATGGGCAAAGCTGTTTGGCTCCCAAGCTCCAGCAGCCCCATGATATCAGTTGTCTGCTGTGCTTTCTTGTTACTCCTGACGAACGCAACTTAAGAGAGAAGCCATTTAGTTGGCTCACAGTTCAAGGTTACAATGCAGTGTGGTGGGGAAGCCAAGGCAGCCAGAACTTAGGTGTGTGTGTGGGGGGGGCGCTAGTTAAATCAAATCCATAATCACAAAGATATCTGTGAATGTGTGCATGGCCACTCTCAGCTTACTCTTCCCTTCAGACCAGGGCCTGGCTTTAGAAGTAATGCCTCCCCCACTACACACACAGAAGCTGGGTCTCCCCACTTCAGTTAGCCTAATTAAGAAAGTCCTTCACCATCACGCCCGCAGGACAACGCAGCCTAGAATAGTCCTCATCGAGAGTCCCTTCCCGCGTGATTCTGGCCTGTGTCAAGTTGACAATTCAAATGACAATCACACCAGTCTTGTGCGATGAGGACATGACAACCTTTCTTTCTGTCCCTCAACCTGCAAAGCAAATGATTCCTAGTAGAGAGAGGGCTTGCACCCCCCAAGCTCCTCTGAAGATAGGCAGAGGTTCAGTGACACTGAACAATCTGGGTTACTGCACAGGGGCAAAGCTGAGACTGTCCCCTGCCACGAGCTACCTGCAAATGGAGGTTCTTAAAAATAACTGTAATAGGGCTGGGTATGGTGGCTCACGCCTTTTGTCGCAGAGGCAGAGGCAGAGGCAGAGGCAGAGGCAGAGGCAGAGGCAGAGGCAGAGGCAGAGGCAGAGGCAGAGGCAGAGGCAGGCGGATCTTTATGAGTCCCTGGCCAGTCTGGTCTACATATCAAGTTCTAGGCTGGCCGGGGACCTATAGAAAGACTTGCTTGGAGAGACATGGTGAGGGGGTGGGGAGGAACTGTAACAACTGCTAGCAACAGAGGGATGAACTCGGTGTCCTTAATCTCAGTCTTCAGAGGGAAAGACAAGCAGATCTCTGAGTTCGAAGCCAGCCTGGTCTACATTAAAAAAAATAAAAATAAATTAAAAAATAAAAGATTTTCCCTTTGAGACAGGGTCTCTCTCAGTAGCCTGGTTAGCCTCAAACTCTTTAGCATCTTCTCTCCTTAGCTCCTAGGTGTTGGGATTATAGGTGTGTGCCACCACTTCTGGTAAGGAATGGTTTTAATGTTTCTTCATCAAAGGTAGTTCTTCCCTTTATAGAGGCAAGGTTTCTCACTAGCCAGCGGAGGCTTGTTGTTAGTATCCAAGGAAACCTTCAAAGATAAAGCCTTGGAGTCCAGTGGGAAACCCAAGACAATTTCCCTGCTACATTTCATAACTTCACCTGGATCTGAGGAAGGGAGTCAAGGGCACCTACTCACAGAAAGCTATACGGTATCGGCTGCATTTAGATTAAAATCGTTAAGCTCACCGGCTGGGGCAGAGAGGCCTAGAGAGCTGCTCCCGCCAGAATCCCTTTCTGCTAGAAGGACGTCCTGATGATGCACTGTGGTGACCGGGGTGTTCTCTGGAGGACTCAGAAGATGCCCTGTGTGGAACAAGACAAAGACAAAGGTGGTGTTGACATCTCGGGGTAGCTTCCTGCCAGGAGCAAGGCTGGCACAGCTGTTCTCTAGGAAGAACCAGTGTTTGCAACGGTGGCCCGAAAGGAACACAAACCCCAAGGGTTTCAGGCGAACGAGAGCTGACTGAGCATTTCATCTCTCTGTCTCTCAGATCTTAGAGTCTGTTGGCTCCATCATCACCCTCATGACCCTGTGACCTTTAGGCAAAAGTGAGGCTCAACCCCAGCACGCCCGTGTGTTCCCTGTTACAGCATTTGGATGTGGAATGGCTCTCACAGTCTCATGCATTTGAACACTTGGTGATGACATTTGGGGAGGTTGTGAAACTTTCAGGAGGCAGGGGGTGGAAGAAGAGGTCACTGGA